TAATCAATGCGGGGTCCGGGAGAGCGGATATAGTGAATGTGGGGTCTGGGAGAGCGGATATAGTGAATGCGGGGTCCGGGGAGAGCGGATATAGTGAATGCGGGTCCGGGAGAGCGGATATAGTGAATGCGGGGTCCGGGGAGAGCGGATATAGTGAATGCGGGGTTCGGGAGAGCGGATATAGTGAATGTGGGGGTCCGGGGAGCGATATAGTGAGCGGTGGGGGAGAGGGATATAGTGAATGCGGGGTCCGGGGAGAGCGGATATAGTGAATGCGGGGTCCGGGGAGAGCGATATAGTGAATGCGGGGTCCGGGGAGAGCATATATAGTGAATGCGGGGTCAGGGGAGAGCGGATATAGTGAATGGCGGTGGTCCGGGGGAGCGGATATAGTGAATGCGGGGGGTCCGGGAGAGCGATATAGTGAATGTGGGGGTCCGGGGAGAGCGGATATAGTGAATGGGGGTCCAGAGAGAGCGGATATAGTGAATGCGGGGGGTCCGGGGAGCGGATATAGTGAATTCGGGGTCCGGGAGAGCAGATATAGTGAATGCGGGGTCCAGAGAGAGCGGATATAGTGAATGCGGGGTCCGGGGAGAGCGGATATAGTGAATGCGGGGTCCGGGGAACACATTATTGTGCACAATTTAACAGAGCTGCAAAAATGCATGTGTGTTTTCAATGCGTTTTTGCATTAGAAGAGCCCTAACTAGGTGACTCACAGAAAAAAAAAAGACAGTTGTCCTGGTTGTTCTGTAGCATTGTCAATAAAAGCGATGTCAGTTGGGGAAAATCAGAGACAAATGAACAGAAATGCCGGAACACAAACACCTGGAAATACCAGAACTACAAGTTTTACATTCCAAGCAGAAGGAACTAAATCGTTTTTTTTTGCCTTGCTGTGGTTTCTGGATCTCATGGTTTGCATTGCTGTGCGTTTACTTCCTTGTGATTAGGACTTTTTTTTGTTTTTTAGACTTTTAAAGATCACAAAAAAAATAGTTAAAGACATTATCGATTGGTGAAATGAATGTCGTTGTGCGGATTTACATCAGGCCCCGCCTAGTGCATTATGTGTGCTCCACCCACTGCGATTACTTTGACGCATTCTATGCAGCGCGCTTTGTCGCAGGAACTTCACCCACAATAGAGCAGCCCGCATTAACCCCCATCCCCCCTCCAGGAGGACATTTAACCCCCCCCCCCTTTTGACCAGGCCAGTTTTTGCAATCCGGGGCGCTGCGTTTACTGTAACTGATAATTGCGCGGTCATGCAACGCTGCACCCAAATTAAATTTACATCCTTTATTTTCCCACAATATAGAGCTTTCTTTCAGTGGTATTTGATGGAGGGGGGGGGGGGGGATCTGGGTGCGTTTTTTTTAATTTTTTATGTTATAAAGAAAAACAGACCTATAATTTAAAAAAATTTTTTTTTTACATTTACTTTTTGCTATTAACATTTCCAGTAACAAAAAAATCGTAAAAAAAAAATAAAAATTTCGTCAAAAATTTAGGCCAAAATGTCTTTGCTTAAAAAAACAATCCCAATACGTGTAAATTAATTGGTTTACGTGAAAGTTAAATAGCGTTTACAAATGGCGGTATAGATAATGGAATAATTTTTTTTACTAGTAATGGCTCTAATAAGAGACTGGATATAGTGGTACTGCGGTCACGGCATTCCTGAACACTGGCGGGATGGGGGGGGGGGACTGTACTTGGTGTCACTGACCATCTCCAGGCACCAATACACGTGATCAGTTGTTAAGTAAGAGAAGCACCTGACACTGGCTAACTGAGGCAGGAAGGGGTTGGCATGATGGGAGCCGAGTCCAAAGGGTTAACTGTGTGCTTGGGGAAGTTTTGGTGGGTTAAAAGGGGGTGGTAGGGGGGGGGGGATGGTTGGGGGATGTTTTGGGAGAGGTTAGATGAGTTGGATATTATTGTGTTGTTATATGGAGGAGGTTATGTTGTATGGGGATGGGTGTTTTTGGGTGGGGTTAAGGGGTAGGTTGTTAGGGGGTAAAGAAGGGGGGGGATGATTGTTAAGATTAATTTAGGGGTAAGGGTGGGGATGTGATGTAAGTATTTGAGGGGTGGACCACTCCTAATAGAAGAGGATATATTTAGGGTATGGGGTGATTGTGGATGTGGTGGGTGAGGGGGGGTTGAGATTAGAGGTTGGGATGGCCACAGCATTTCAATGGGGTTGAGGTATAGGACTCTGACTGGGGCCACTCCAGAAGGCGTATTCTGGGGTTGCAGCAAGCCATTGTTTTGTTGAATTACTTGTATGCTTTGGGTCATTGTCCTGTTGCATCACCCATCCTCTGCGGAGCTTCAGTTGGCGGACAGATGGTCGTAAGGGATTATTGGGGTCTACGTTTTCCTGCAAAATGTCTTGATAAACTCTGGAATTTCATTTTCCCATCAATGACAACAATCCGTCCAGGCCCTGAGGCAGCAAAGCAGCCCCAAACCATGATGCTCCCTCCGCCATGTTTTACAGTGGGGATGAGGTTTGATGTTGGTGTGCTGGGCCTTTTTTTCTCCACACATAGTGTTGTGTGTTCTTCCCAAACAACTCAATCTTGGTTTCATCTGTCCACAGTATATTTTGCCAGTAGTGCTGTGGAACATCCAGGTGCTCTTTTGCAAACTTCAAACGTGCTGCAATATTCTTTTTGGACAGCAATGGCTTCCTCCGTGGTGTCCTCCCATGTACTCCATTCTTGTTTAATGTTTTCCTTATTGTAGATGTGTCAACAAAAATGTTAGCATGTGCCAGAGATTTCTGTAGGTCTTTAGCTGACACTCTGGGATTCTTCTTTACCTCATGCAGCATTCTGCGCTGTGCTCTTGCAGTCATTTTTACAGGACGACCACGCCTAGGGAGAGTAGCAACAGTGCTAAACTTTCTCCATTTGTAGACAGTCTGTCTTACCGTGGACACATGAACATCAAGGCTTTTGAGATACTTTTGTAACCCTTTCCAGCTTCATGCAAGTCAACAATTCTTGATCGTAGGTCTTCTGAGAGCTCTTTTCTGCGAGGCATGGTTCACATCAACACAGTGCTTCTTGAAACCAGTAAACCCAAAACAGGTGTGTGTTTTTAAGGGCAAACAGCTGTCAGCAACACATCCAATATCATCACACTGATTGAGTCAAGGTTGGCTCACTCCTGGCTCCAATAAGCTCTGGGAGAAGTCATTAAGCTAGGGCCTCACATACTGTTTTCCTCCCTGCACTGTGAATGTTTACATATTATGTGCAATTAAACCATGCAACATGACGGCGCTATATAAGTACCTGAAATAAAATAACTAATGTGGGTTGTGTTTGCTTCACTCTAAGCGCACTTGCATTGTCTATGGCTGGTGCAATGCAGAGGCATACAAAGCAGTGTGCATGAACTGACAGGGAAGAGATCTGTATTGTTTACATACAGGTCTCATCCCCCGTTGGAAATCCTCAGAGATCGCCGGGTGCCAGCGAGGAATCACTGTCCGGGGACCTGGTGACTGACAGCTGAGGCCGCCAAACCAACGCCGAACTGCAAAATCAGGTATAAATCCATGTCCATATGTACACATGACAGTCGTTTACAGGCAGTTGAGTTTACACCAAAGTTGCGTTCAGAAGTAGATGGTTTACCGCGATTGTAAACGCGGTTAACAACCGCGTTTGCAAGCATTTGCATTTAGACGCGTTTTTTGACAGGGCCATATCCAGATGCTGTCCGGAGCCTTTTTTCCATCATCAGAAATGCACGCAAAGCATTTTCCATGTATTCAAATGGACCCTCTACGGCACACCACAGCGCAGTCAGTTCCAGGTGTCCCGCATGAAGGAAACAAACGGTAGAATGCGCCGCAATTATGCTCATGATGGGATCCATAGTGACAGTTACAACCAGAAAAGACCGGTCATCTCAGCACATACTGCTCTCTCCGTCTGCTTCCGCTCTCTCTATTTCTCTCAAAATGTCTGAAATAGTTAATTATTTACTATTTTGTCAGTGCATTCTGGGCATTTGGGAAGGTCCTCCTGAGGATATCTTTTAAAAAAGGCTTCTAAATGCAAACGCGTCATAAACGGTGGTATGCAAACGCGGCTAAAGTGACGTTTTTTTTTGACCTACGTTTTTCCACAGCCAGAAGAGTTTTTTTCCAAACGCTCCCGTGTACATGAAGCCCTGAAGGTAATCAAAAGCAGCGGATGGACTAGCCTTCATTGTGGAATGGCTACTATAGTAATGTATAGGAAACCACGCCCAGAGGTTGGACATTCTAGGGGCAGCCTTTTCTCAAAGCAGGGAGCCCAGTCACGCCCCAGGGGGTGCCTTGAGTTTCTTCAGGGGTGCCTTGAGGTTTCTTCAGGGGGTGCCTTGGCAAAATGTCTAAAAGTTGCAGAAAACTTGTATACCAGCTAGCGGGTGGGAAGAAGCCTGACTTTTAGAATTGATGACACAAAGCCACAGGTATTTCGTTGTGGCACCATTATGACCTTCTAGCCGCCGGCATCCTGACAACCAATGACATCATCAGTTGATAAGGAGGTTGTCAGTTGCCTGCTCAGCATCCCTTGCTGGACCCTCCCCCGCCCCTCTACGTCAGTGCCATGGGATCACATTAGCTCGGTGATGGAGAAAAACTGAGAGAAACATGGGCATACTATCAGTACCAGGGGTGCAAACGTGTATTTGATTTGGAAGAATAAATCCCCCTCTAATGTTGGGTGTCCTAACCATGCGTGGTATGTTGCTGCCGTTATATAATATACAACTATTAGAATTGCTTTTACATTTTAGAAATGGGTGCTTGGGGACTGTCCCTAATTTTTCAGAGGGTGCCACAGGACTGTCCATAAATTTTAGAGGGTGCCACAGGACTGTATCCATAAATTTTAGAGGTGCCTCAGAACTGTCCACTTAAATTTAGAGGGTGCCTCAGGACTTTCCCATAATTTTTAGAGGGTGCCACAGGGACTGTCTATACCTTTTAGAGGGTGCCTCAGGACTGTCGATAATTTTAGAGGGTGCCACGGGACTGTCCATAATTTAGAGGGTGCCTGGGGACTGTTCATAATTTTAGAGGGTCCTGGAGACTGTCCATAATTTTAGAGGTGCCCTGGGGACTGTCCATAATTTTAGAGGGTGCCTGGGGACTGTCCATAATTTTAGAGGGTGCCACGGGACTGTCCATAAATTTTAGAGGGTGCCTGGGGACTGGTCCATAATTTTAGAGGGTGCCCTCGGACTGTCCATAATTTTAGGGAGGGTACAACAGGACTGTCCATAATTTTAAAGGGTACCTGGGGACTGTCCCATAATTTTAAAGAGGGTGCCTCGGGACTGTCCAAAATTTTAGAGGGTGCACCTCGGACTGTCCATAATTTTAGAGGGTGCCTTGGAACTGTCCATAATTTTTAGAGGGTGCCTGGGGACTGCCATAATTTTAAGATGGTGCCACGGGACTGTCCCATAATTTTTTTTATTTTAGAGGGTACCTCGGACTGTCCTTAATTTTAGAGGGTGCCACGGGACTGTCCATAGTTTTAGAGGGTACCACACGGGACTGTCCATAATTTTAGAGGGTGCCTCGGGACTGTCCATAATTTTAAGAGTGTGCCTTGGAACTGTCCATAATTTTAGAGTGTGCTTTGGGACTGTCCATAATTTTAGAGGGTGCCCACGGGACCTGTCCAATAATTTTAGAGGGTGCCTCGGGCTGTCCATAATTTTTAGAGGGTGCCACAGGGGCTGTCCCTAATTTTAGAGGGATGCCTCGGGGCTGTCCCTAAATTTTATCAGAGGGTGCCACGGACTGTCCATAATTTTAGAGGGTGCCTCGGGACTGTCCATAATTTTTAGAGGGTACAACGGGACTGTCCATAATTTTTAAAGGGTACCTGGGGACTGTCCATAATTTTTTTAGACGGTGCCACGGAACTGTGTCCCATAATTTTAAGAGAGTGCCGTCGGGACTGTCCTTAATTTTAGAGGGTGCCACGGACTGTCCATAATTTTAGAGGGGTGCCACAAGGTTGAGAAACACTGTTTCTAGTGTATAGGTAAGCAAACTTTTTTTTTTTTTACACAGTCCATTCTGGGAATGAAATTGTCCACACGTATGTACTATGAGCCTCGGTGTCCCGGGAAGCAATTGTTTCCATCATCTGCAATCACAATGAATAATGCAGGAAGTTTATATCTTGCATCGCGAGCGAATTTTCTATTCATTTTGGCATGGCGCTCCTAAATTTGCCTTCCAAAGTTCCTTCAGAAGGTGCTTCACAAATCCATGCATGCAAAACACAAATGAGTGTACACACTGACCATTATTCATAATCCAATTAATGCTAGCGGGGTGGGGGGCCCATGAACTGATACCGACGGAACGGGCCAAGGCTGCAATTAACCCAGTTTTCTTCATCAGCAGGCATTTCAATGATTGCAAGGAATATCGACAATAAAGGAGCTTACCTATTCAGCTGGAAAAAGAAATTTGACAACAACACAAAAACAACAACAAACAACACAAAACAAGGCCTTCAGAAACACCAAACTAAAAATGTTCAGCCGTTATTGGGGGGGCTCCATATATTATTTGTATAGGGGGGTTGCGGAGGTTCAGCCATTGTTCAGATCTGCGCCTCACATCTCTGCGAGAAAAACACATCAAAGGCGAAAGTCAACAAAGCTGCAAAAGACTAATTAAAACATATAGACCTACATGGGCTTTTCCTGTGTTGGTTGTACAATCAGCAGAGCAGGAAATGTCAAACAAAAACTGCAATCAGGGTGAATGAGGGTGTCAGGTCTGGGAGGGGGGGGCACCAAAGAAAGGAGAGAAGCAATACCTGCGCGTGGCAGAGCGAATTTTTAAGAAGAATGAGAGGCAAATGGGGGGCATGTATAGAAACTGGATGCAAAAAACAAATTGGAACAAACCTAGAGGTCTTAACAGGCAGGTCTAAAACCTTTCGATCTTTCATTCAGATGGAAATGAAACAATGACATCTAATTGGTTTACTATGGGTATGGCGCCATCTTTGTGCTAAGTTCAACCCATTCCACAACCAGGTGATTCTATAGAACTCTAGGGGTTTCCTCCAGAGGTTGCTGGGGGGTTTTCCCTTGAGTCTGTGAATGATTAAACCTCCTATTTTGATGTACCTGCATAGTTGCCGGTGGATCCAAAGGCCACTTGGCAACTGCCACTGATCTCTTTATCCGTTCCACCAATGCAAGGGTATTTCTCCCCAATTTGGCCCAGATTAAATGATTTCAGTAAGGTTTTCATGAGACCTGAAAATTATTTTTAGGGGTTGACAGGGGAAACCCAAAACTCATCATGGGTTTCAGTAAACATTTTTGACTGCTGAAGCCGGATTGAAAAGTAGATGTTTATTATACAGCTAGCATGAGCTAGTACCTCCATGCAGGGAGAGCAAACAATACATGGTGTTTGGAATTCAAAGAAATGCTCTAATTCTAACTAGGGCTTTCTAATACAATTTATTATGCTCTACCAGTGGGTGGTAACTAGCTATCTGATCTTTTCTTTGAAGAGTCATCTGTATCTTTGGTGTAACTCATTGAGATTCGAATAGTTAACACAAGTTGTATTGTTTACTGATTATCCCATTGTCCTTTGGGTTTAACAGTCTTCAAAGGCTGTGATTAATAATCTTGTAGACAGATAGGTGTATGAATGATGCGAACTTGAAGTAGGAGTGAAATGTTGAGCCAGCATGAGAGGAAATAGTGATGTTTTAGGCCATCTAATTTCACAATAAATGGCTGCTCATTTTCCCTTACAATCCCTCCGATGCTTGGACATCATATTGTCCAAACAATTATCCCTTCCCTAAAAAGAAATTTGAGAAACATGTTTTTGCTTTACAATTCCTCCCCTCCTTTAAATTCTCATACATCTCACTTTGTTTGCCTAATATTTCTTTCTAGTTCATATTTCTCCCTGATATATATATAAATCCAATTTACTTCTGCAAGAAAAATCTAATTTTGCTTTCACAAAGGCTGGAAAAATGCAAAACATTAAACAAAAATTAAAAATCAAAAAGTCTAAAAAAACTGTGTGTTGGGGCTAACTGTTTATGTACGCCGCAGTCAGCAGTTTGATTCCTCCAAAGTATCCCTGACAAGCCTAGTTCTCCATGAAGACCTGTCTCAGCATAACACCTAAGAACTCGTTACAATGTATCATACATAATAATTTTCTTCTCTACTCTTCTGATCGCAGTCCACAAGACAAGAAACTTCCGGTAGGTGTGCAGTTTCGATTCTGCTGCAAATATAAGGCAAATTTGGAGCTTTGAACTTCTATTCCGGACCAGCTGAAATGATAGGGGTGGGGAGTGGAAAATGTTCTTCAGATACTCATAAGCTGTTTGAAACCACATTTCTCCATCACTGGGGTGTATAGGTGTGGCTGAATGTCAAGATAGTCCAGGAAATTAAGGGAGGTATATTTTTTGAAGATGGCATCATTCAAGATTGCTAGTCCCAACATTAGCAAGTATTTTATACAATAATGCCCATGAGCCGCCCCCCATGGGCGTTGGGTTATTTCTTCTCTGCCGAAGTAAATCTGTGTTATAGAGACAATAAGACCTAGAAAAAAAAGAAATAACATCTTTATATGATGAGTAAACCACACTCTCAATTTGTATAAATGTTGTTACGCTTTGGGGGGGGGGGGGGGGTGGGGGGCGATCGTCATCTTAAAAAGGGCCCTAATCATGTATGGGCTGGGATTCCATTGACCTTACAGTTGACACAGGAACATCTCTGTAAAATACAAGAGATCAGGAGACTTGGAGAGCACAGAATACAGGACTTAGAGGAATGGCAGGAGGACAGTTTTCAGCACTTGGGGTACTGGTTTTAAAGTCAAGCAGGACACAAAAATGCTAGTAAGAAACAATTGTAGCAATCTGGGTGGTTCAGGCTCGACAGGAATGCAAGGCACTACAAGAGCCCCAGATACAGCTGATATATCGATAAGGGGAGGATTCTAAGACCCGGAAGGATACCCACACAGGTATCATAGGATGGGTGGAGAACACATGCATGTCCGCACATGCAACAAGGGGCGAGGGCCCTGCTGTAATGGTCCGATGCGCAAGAGTCTAAGGAACTGCTTTGTTCTTCGGTCCAGAGCTCTTGTAAGGTAGAGATGGTGTTGTGCTGCAGACAGTCCCCAGGTTGCGGTCCTCGTACTCACCCAGGCAGGAAGCTACTGGGAATTACTAACGGAGTAAATGCGAGAGAAACCGGCTTGAAGTGGATGGAGCACAGGGATCACTGGACAGTATGGAGCTCAGTGGTCAAGCTGACCTGCATAGAGACCACACAGAGCAAAAAACCTGAGGAACAAGAAAACGTAGGAGTAGGATAAGTAAAAGCAAGCAAACAATACAGGATCTCTAAGAGCAGAATAGAGATTGTACGGTGACCACAAACAGGAAACAGGATGATAAACACATTCGGAGACACAGAGACCCAATCTGCTAGGACCTTTAAGGGGTGTAATAGCCCTTTAGGCTAATGAGCCACATTAGAATGAAACGAGAGCCCTGGCTTGGGGCTCATTAAATCAGTACAGGAGGTTTGAGCCAGCCTAAAACACACGTCTAGTGTGACAATAGGCAACAGCTGAACCTTATAATTTAAAGTCATGGAACTACAATGTACCAGCATAACCCCCTGCTGCTCTTATGGAAATAGAGGAGACAGATCTGAAGGACAAAGCTTGAAGACACCCGAAGCATAGATTTAATTTAAAATCCTTGAACACTATCTAACTGAGCTTAATAATCAATATAGTCAACACTAACATCACAGGTTAGGATTATAATTTGACGGAGAGGGCAGGTGAATATAGGTGTTAAAATAGAGAAACAATTATTCAATACTCAATCAGTTCAAACTTTACACACAAGTAACTAATAGAAACTTTATAATGGATGAAAATGCTCAGTTCTATTGTTCACAAAAGGTATCAGGGGATTTCTGGCTTTGTCTGGTTCGGGCGGTTGGGGACATCTCTATAGAGTGTTTGAACTGCGTTAATACCCAGTGCCCATATCATGTTAGATTCAATCACACAATCTACTATATTAGAAGATCTAACACCCAATAAATAGCAACTAGGGAACTTTCCGAAAGAAGGTACAAACTTAACCAACTTCACCATATCAGCTAACTGGGTGGGATCGATGTTTAAGTATTTACATAAGAAAACATACTAATAAAACAAGGAAGAAAACAATTTGGAATACTTTCCATTGGTTTGAATTTTTTTTTATGAAAGGCTGTGATTCTTCCCGTTCTGAAAAAGCCTGAAAGAAGTCCAAGGCATTGATCTAATCTTGATGAATTAAGCAAGCAATTACATTTAGTAACATACATGACACATTCCTCGCCTTCATAAAACCAATGTTTAAAGATTCTAATCAACAAAACGGTACAGTACATAACTTTTTAAAATTTTCTCTTAGTTGTGCCTAACAGTGCACATTTCTAATACCAAAAATTTATTGACGTCAAAATTAATTATTACCACGTGGATTTTGTTTATGGATTATATCATTAAAGAAAAAATTATTATTATTATACACCAGTGAGTTAAAAATGAGCAGCTCAATGTAAACCTTTTTTAGTAAGCGTACCATTTGTGTGGTCAAGAGTATATACTTCACCATAGCTGAACCACTACTGGAAACTTCCAAAGACTGTATCTTCCTAAAAAACATAACAACATAGATAGTGAATATCACATGAACAATTTCGCACTAATAACATCCTGATTTCCTTTTAGAGTTTCACTTGGCTCAGGTGAAATTTGCATTGAACCATAAACAGCTGTTCTCATTCACAAACCATGCAATTAACCTGTGTTAAAGAAAAAGGGGGGTCAGCCACTCGGTGGGCTGTCAGGCACCTAAACATAATAGAAGACTAGCACTCCTGATTTATTTTAAACTTTAAATAAGAAT